AAGCCTGAGCCTGGCGACACACCTGGAGCTGCACAATGCATGCCTCTCAAGCTGCGCTTTAAACGGCGCTGGAGTGAAGACTGTCGTCTGGAGGGTGGTGGGGCCCCCACTGGGGGCCTCGAGGATGAGGGTGAGGACAAGAAGGTGCGTGGGGAGGGGCCTGGGGAGGCTAGGGGTTCCCTCACCCCAAGGCGGGTGAGCTCTGACCTCCAGCACGCCACAGCCCAGCTCTCTCTGGAGCATCGAGATTCCTGAGGGCTGTGGGCAGGGGACCCTGCTCCCCCACCCCCAGTGCTTCTTCTGCTGCCTTAACTCCCCCATGTCCTGGAGGTGAGGGCAGCTCTAGTCTCTTCCCTGCCTCCTCCCTTTCCTCTCCCTATATTTTGTATAAAACTTAATTTTTTTTTTTTTTAAATTGTGAGGGTGGGTGGGTAACCCAGGGCTGGGGCTGTCCCATCTCTGTGGGTTTCTAAGCTCCGGGCAAAGTGGTGGTGAGGGGGGAGGGAAGGGGGGGGCCACCCCCATTCTGGGGAATTTATATATCAATTGAGGTTCTGGCCTCGACGCCCAGGAACTTTTTTATTACAATCACTTAGGAAGTAAAGCCTTGTCTCCCTCCCTGTTCGTGCCTCCTATACCTCTCCCTGTCCACCCCCAGCCATTCTCAGCCTGAATCCAGCCTTCCCTGCCCCTCCAGGGGCCATGAGTGCCTGGGTTTCTAACCCCACAGGGTTACAATGGGAGGGATGGGCATTTTATGATGAACCAAAAATTCCATGTGTGTGGGGGGGGTGGGGGTCAGAGGAGGGTGAGGGGTGCCACCCATAGGCCACAAATCTCTACAAGTGCCTGCTATCCCTCTTCCACTCTTCACCCCAGCACTGGTCCAACCCCTTCACCCCCAGCTGCTCCTAGGACCAGTCCATAGGCAGGGGGGTGGGAGGGTGGGAAAGGTGTACCCTGAAACCAAACTGGAAGCCCCTTCTGCCTCCCAGCTGGGGCCCCTTGGGGTGGGGGTGGGGTCTGTGGTCAAGCCTTATTCTGTATTGGGGTTGGAGGGTGGGGGGGGGAGGAAAGTTGGGGGCTGCTGGAGAATGTATTCAGAACAATAAAACTTTGGACCTTTGGGTGGAGTGATCTGTCTCACTGCAGAGCCATAGCCTGTGTAGATTTCTGAAGGGCGGGACTGGACTGGCTCCCCAGTGGGACCTATGGCCAGGATGCCTAACCCCATCTGAATGGATCAAATCCAGGCCTTGGAAATTATCTCTCAATTTTGGGGTGGGGGGTACGTAAACCCCAGGGCCTGATGATGAAAATCTCTGGCATACTCTGACCATCATACGATTGCTCTCCTAGCCCATGGGGGCTGCTTGTCCTTGGAAGCATTTAGAATCTTCACCTAGTGCCTGAAAGGCCTTTCCTCTCTGCCCCTGAATTCTTATCCACATCCCCAGGCTCTGGTGAAGGCCCAGACCTCCTTTTGCGCTGTTCTCTCTAGAGTTCTCCAGCACAACACTTCGGAGATAGTCTGGAGTTCTTTGGGGACAGGCATGCAGTTGAAATGTTAACATTGGAAGGCACCTTAGTGATCTTCCCTTGGAACCATGGGAATACTCTCCACCAAGTTTGAGTCAGGACTGGCTTAATCAGAATTGCTGTTGATGGGCCTATTGTACCCACTGTATCTAGGGCTTAGTAACTGATGCTTTGCCTCAAACGTGAAATAAGGTAGCAGCCAATGTCTTGCCTAAGGTCCCAAGACCAGCCAGGACTTGAAAAAACGTGTGCCTGAATTTTCCTCTTAAATCCAGGGTGGTTGGGTCTAGACCAGGGTCTTTGATTTTGAGAGGTGAGCTCATCAAGCTAGAAGTCCAGTTGGGGAGCTCCAATCAGATGAAAGAATGAGGAATCCAGACTGGAAGAGCTTTTGATGACAGCCCAACTCCAGTGCAGGAGGGGTGCCTGAGGCCCAGAGAGGGAAGGAATTTCCCCAAGGCCACACAGCTGCTGAGAGAGAATAGAGGGCTCAGGGCCTGTTGGAATGGCTTCATTGAAACTCCACCCTGTGCAACTCTGAAGGGGAAGGAACTGGTAACTCCTGCCCACTCTTCATCCTCATTTCATGCCAGCCCAGGGTGGGTGGTCCCAGGATGTCCTGTTGGCAGTGAAGAGAGGACCCAGGGCTGGGGTATTGGCAATAAACAGGATCCAGTGGCAGCCTGCGGGCAACTGCTCCCTCTCCTGGGTGATGTAAGTCATTCCCTGGGGTGGGGGCCGCTGGGCTATTTCTGGAAGTTGAGATGAGGCATGTCTCCTGGCAACACAGATACAGCTGAGTTGGTGGTGGTGATGGATAAAGGAAAATGTTATCACTGGGAGGAGTGGGGAAGACCTTAGCTGTAGTCACAGCTCCTGATTCTAATGCCTTCAAAGTACCTCTATCCAGGTCTAACATGGATTCAAAAGCCCTCAGTTCCAAAACTGCTGTCCAGGTCAGACCAGGCCGAAAGAGACATGTTGCCCCCAATTCTGGCTGACTGGGATGTCACAGGTGGCCTCTGGTCTTGAAACTCCAGTGGGTCCTCTAATCTTTAATAACCCACCTAAATCTGTTCACACTTTCTGCAAGACCACACCCTTGATCCCTTCCACATTCTCCAGGATCCCTGGATTCCAAGTAGACACTTCACCAATTAATTCATCCCATCAGACGTTCCCTTCATACCTATAAAGCACACCCACAGACGCCCAAAGCTCCATCCTGATGTTCCTCAAACAGTCTTCATCCTTTCAGGTCCCTCAGACATCCCCCTAATTAAGCAGTAGTTTCTCACATTCTCCCACAGACTGTTTAAAAGCACCCCAAGTTCCCTTTGACTTCTCTACTGGTCTCCAATAAGACCCCTTCATCTCTCCACGGACTCCCCTGAGTACCTCCAGACACCCATAGGCTCCTCAGAGATACTTAAACCCGGTCTAGAACCACTCAACAAACGTTCTCAGTCCCAACAAACATCCTGGTCAAGATTTATTTCCTCAGTTTCCCTCAGACTCCCACCAGTCCCAACCCCCTCGTGGCAGTTGCCTACGTGCGGTGCACTGCGCCTGAACCACGGGTTCTGGCCGTTAAGTAACCGCCGCTGTCCCGCCTCGCTCCGCTGCTTTCTGAGACTTCTTGGTCTAGTGCAGGATTGATTTCCCAGGTTTTGTGGCTTGACTCAGATTTTTGCTTTTCGACTCAGAGCTGCTATTAGAAGGCAGTAGACACCATTTGGCTGAGAAACTACAACTCCCAGAAAGACGTGCCGCATCTATTGAGAAGGGAGCGGAAGTATGCCTGCGCTTTGCCTTTTGGTTAATGTAGTCCGAAAGGCATTAGCGCCGGCCTCAGGGGTCTACGTCCACTGGGAATTGAATTCAGGAACAAACTGAGGGGACGAGACTTTCTTCAGACTTCAGAATAGGCAGAAGAGTTAGTACGAACATAGTCCCGGATTAAAGCGACGCCTAGAGATTGCATTTCCCATCATTCCACGAGGCAGGAGGGGCTTAAGGGTGATTTTTTTTTTATTCTAGTTCCAGGTATTTTCGGGACACACAGTCACACGAACTGTTTCCCAGCTCCCTTTGATTTTATTGTCTTTACAGGTATTAGTCAATAAATGAGACATAACCGAAGGTGCTCAAAACCGAAGGCTTCGTTGTTTGGGATCTCCAAGATCCTGTAATTTAGTAAACAGGAGGACGCAAAAAGCTGAATGAGGGTTTAGGACAAGTTGTATACATATTTTTGGACGCTCGGCTCACCTCCTGGTGCAACCCACAATGCTAGAAAAACTACATTGTATCCGAAGACTATTGTTCTAAAAAACCGCCAGGAACTTTGTTTCCCAAATCATTTGCAGGGAGTTTTTCCTTCCCGACTTATGGAAACTTGGAACTTGGTCTCTATTTTCCAGCAGCCCCTAATCGACTTCGGCTCTTTCTTAGGGCCTGGGGAAAGGGAAGGAGACGTTGAAACACTGCAGATTCCACAGGGAATTGCCGTCTTTCACCTTTCGCTCACGATTTGTCGAAGGTATCCATTGAATTCCACTTTCCCGCAAGGGTAGGCAGCCTTGCATTACAGTGTCAGGATCCGGTATGGCCTATTCCCCAGCATGCTTCGGGCTCATGGTAGATCCCTCCCCTCAGTCTATAGGAAGGCGTCCTTGAACTCCATTTCCCAGAAGACATAAGGGCTCGCTGTAGCAACTGCTCCGAAGTCTTTGTCTTTACTACAGATCCCGGCAGGCACTTCGACCTAGAGTGCGAGGAAGGAGGAGTCTTGTATATACTCCATTTCTTAGCCTGACCCCGGAACTGCAGTATCCACTTGGAGTTTAGAGATCACATGGGACTCCATTTCCCGGCGTGCTTTGGGAGTCTCTTTACACCTGCAATGCAGTGAGGGCGTGGCGACGACTCCATTTCCCGGCTTGCCTCTCGATCTGATATCTGCGGGTCCTCCTGAGCCGCAATTTCCCAGAGTGCACTTGGAACCGGGGGCACACTTAGCCAATAAACATAGTGAATGACTAGACTCCGTTTCCCGGGGTGCATCAGGTCCTTGACGGTCGGCGACTACATTTTTGAGGCATAGTGAGCCGATCACAGTTGTCGCAGAGGAATGAGTGTGTGACTCTGTCTCAGCTTCCCCAAGTACTTTAGGGTCCGCCGTGGACACAGTCGACTGACTTAATGCCAACAATATTTCCCGATGAGTAGCGCGGTGTACCTCTGAGGCCTTTGCGGACTCCATTTCCCGGCGTGCCACACGGCTCTCTCTAGGCGGCGCGGAGGGCACACGGACTGCATCTCCCGGCGTGCCCCGCGGCGGGCGCTGGGCCGGAGCCGGAGCCCAAGCGGCGCGGCCTGGAAGAGGCCGGAGGCCGGGGGAGGCGGCGGCGGCGGCGGCGGTAGCGGCAGCCCGGGCAGCCCGAGCCCCGCGGCCTGGGCCTGCGCTCGGCGCCATGAGCGGCGGCGCTCCTTCGGCGGGCGTCCCTGTGGGCTCGGGCCGGCCGCGGACCAGCTCGTTCGCGGAGCCAGGCGGCGGAGGAGGCGGCGGTGGCGGCGGCCCTGGAGGCTCGGCCTCTGGTCCGGGCGGCAGCAGCGGCGGGAAAGCGTCAGTCGGAGCCATGGGTGGGGGCGTGGGGGCTTCGAGCTCCGGGGGTGGTCCCAGCGGCAGCGGCGGAGGAGGCAGCGGCGGCCCCAGCGCGGGCACGAGCTTCCCGCCGCCCGGAGTGAAGCTGGGCCGTAAGTACTAGCGGTGTCCGTGGTGGGTGGAGATCATGGTTCCTGAAACCCCTCAGTCATCGCTGAGGTTCTTCCACATGCCCAGATAAGAGCTCGAGGTCACTGCCTCTGAAAAACGGGGATCTGAGTTCTCCCCCTCCCGGAAAAGGATTTCGGGGGGACTACCATCATTTGGAGTTTAGAGTTAGAGTTAGTAACCCTCAGAGAAACAGGGGTCACAGGTTCCTGTTCTTCCAGTACCGAGGTCTTGGGTCCTTGAGGCTTAAAAACAGGGATCTGACGTTGCGCTGCATTAGATAACAGGATCAGGGGTCATCGTGGCTGGCTTACAAACGGGGCTCAAGGGTTATTGTTTCCAAAGAGAACAAGAATAAAGTCACCACCCAAAAGGGGGAATCTGAATTTGCCTATTTTTAGGAGACAGGGATTTGGAGTATGTATTACTTAGAAGAAGGTACTTGGGGTTACTGTGTCTCCAAAGAACAGGACTACAGCTTTCCAAACATGGTACTCATGTCATCTTCCCCTTTAAAACGCAAGGCCTGATCTCATTATCTGTTCATTATATTTGTATTCCCAGTGGTGGAAATTCATGGTTGCTGTTTCTTAGAAATAAGGACAGGTAGGGAGTCAGCGTACCTTTCACACCAAGTCATAGTCACTCTTTTTCAAAAAACATGGCTTGTTGGTCTCCTTTCACAGAAATGGAATGGGCATGGGGGAGGGTCACAGCTCCCCATCAAATATGGATCTCGGTTATACCCCTTTTATCACTCTGAGGTGTGGTGTTTTTGGCTGTGGACAAAACAGATATATAGGATCATCTCTTTCAGGAGAAGGTGTCAACTGGCTCTTCAACATGGATTTGACTCATCAGTGACCCCCTTTCTTTGAGAAACTTTTCTTCAGTTCCCTGAAGAAAAGGGGTCACTACCCCAAAGAATACTGAGACTGGAACTGGGGATTAGAGTTTTCCTATGAAGGACTGAGGCTGGGCTAGCCCCCTGCTCATAGAGATCAGGTTCACCAGTGTCACAATTTAGTGCTTATCTATTCAGGACCACTTACATACGGAAAGGGGTTCATGGCTCAACCGCACAGATGAGATCAGGTCCGTGCCTTCTCTAACCTCAAGGTACTTGGGTAAGGGCTAACAGTCCCCAAAGAGTGAGTCAGGGCACTAGCACTCATGCCAGGAGGAGTCGCTTATTTCTGTCACCAAAAACTAGTGAAGTTATGAACTCCACCAGTGAGGACATAGAGGTCACTCTCCCTTGAGCTGTGAGAAAGGTTAGTGCTTTCCTAAAGTAAAGTACCTCAGGGTTGCTGCCCTCTTAAGTGGAAGAGGTTAGTTCAGGCTTTCCCAGTCAGGAGGGGCCAGAGGGCAGTGAGCTTGGACAGATTCAGTCTCTCTCAATGACATCGATGGGAGTGTCATTGTCTCCTCAGACCAAGAGGACCCAGTGGGTTGCTGCTTACTAGAGGTGGAGATGAGGGATCAGTGAGAGGTTTAGGTGTCCGTATCTTCCTATATGGGAGGAGGGGCAAGGAAAAGGGACAGAGAAGCCCCAGAAAACTTCCTATGGACATCCTCCCCCACCATTGCCCCAGGATGGGGGATGGCCAAAGGGGAAAGGTCAGCGGATTTTGTGTCTTCTTTCTTCCCCAGGTGACAGCGGGAAGGTGACCACAGTGGTAGCCACTCTAGGCCAAGGCCCGGAGCGCTCTCAGGAGGTGGCTTACACAGACATCAAAGTGATTGGCAATGGCTCATTCGGGGTAGTGTACCAGGCACGGCTGGCAGAGACCAGGGAACTGGTAGCCATCAAGAAGGTTCTCCAGGACAAGAGGTTCAAGGTAGCTTGGGGGAAATGGGGACAAGAAGGTTTAACTGGTCATGACTAGTGAAGAGCCCCAGCAAGGACACTGGCCTTGGGGGTCCCACAGGGGATCTGGGCATGGGCCAGAGAAGGGAGAAAAAAGGGAGTGAGTTGTGTAGAAGATGGATGTAGGTTCCAGGAAAGCTTAGAGGTGACAGTTCATTGGACTTTTGTTCTTTGTCTTTTTTGCAGGCAAGTTCTTTTTTAATTTACATAGAGATTGTGTGGAGGTGTAGGTACTGTTGTCATTCCCATTTTAAATAAGCAGAAACTGGAAACTGAGACTCAGATAAGAGGACTGTCAGAGGTCTGAACTATATTCTTACTCCCAAGCATTCCATCTTAATCATTAAGTTAAGCTTCTGCTCAGAAGAGAAAGGAAGCTGGTGGGGCTGATAAGTGTGTTTGCAAAGGTCTCACTCTGCCTCAGGTGTTTGGCAAATGCAGGGTGGAATCCAGCCTGCTCAGTGCTCACCAAACCACACACGTTGGTGTGAGGCTCTGTCCTTCTGTAAAAGGGTTGTCCACCCATAGAGAGGTGCCCTGAAAGTTAGTGGATACCCAGAGAATGAGAAGGAGATGGAGGCGTGGAAATCGAGGGATAATTGGTGTTTGAAGGACAGCATTTTGGAGACAAGGCTAGTCTGGATGTAGGAGAAGTGAGCCTAGGCTGGGAGGGAAACAGGTCAGGCCCTGGGTCTTCACAGTGAGCAGTGTCAGGAGCAGGATGATCCAGGGCATCAGTCAGAATTTGATTACTGTTGAATCCCAGAAGTGAGAAGGATCTGAGGGTGGGTAGTTTTGAGGTCCCAGAGGGGAACAGAATAGGGAATAATACTGAGACTGGGCCTTCTTTGGGAAGATGAGAATTGGAAGCCTGGAGTCTGGGACTCGGGATCCAAGCCAGGGGGCGATGGCTCATATGTGTCCAGGGGAACAATAGGAGTGGGGACTAGGATGAACTGGATGGCCACTGCTTGTCTCTTGTCGCTTATGCTATGCAAGGAGGCAGGCCTCATGCTGCCACATTACCTGATTTTTCAAGAGAAGTTGCAAAACTGGGTTTCTATGTGAAGTCATTTGATTTTTCAAATACCAGCAATAAATCAAACACTTGAAAAAGTGGGTTGAAGAAAACACATCTTGTGTTCTGGGTTTAGCCCATAGGCCTCCAGCTTGTGTGTGAGGGAGATGAGTTGGGGGGGCGGAGTGAGTAATTAGGGGCTTCCCCAGGGGCGCCTGGGAGCCTGGACACAGGGAGTAAAGAAACACCCAGATCTGTTGGCAGGAATGGGGGTGTAGGGCTGTGGTGAAGGATGCTAAGGAGAGGAGGCAAAGAGAACTGGTTTTTTGAAGCTCTCTCCCTTTGCCCCCAAGAACCGAGAACTGCAGATTATGAGGAAGCTGGACCACTGCAATATCGTGAGGCTGAGATACTTTTTCTACTCCAGTGGGGAGAAGGTGAGACCCCAGGGGCAGGGGAATCCTTCATCTTCACCTGTTTTCCTGCAGGCCTTTCTCATGACTACTAAGCTTTCACCCATTTTCCCCAAACCTTCCTTTCCCTGTTCCTTGTTCTTTCTTCACGGTGCCTCATACCTCTCTTTTGCTCTACACAGAAAGATGAGCTTTATCTAAATCTGGTGCTGGAATACGTACCTGAGACGGTGTACCGGGTGGCCCGCCATTTCACCAAGGCCAAGTTGACCATCCCTATCATCTACGTCAAGGTGGGCAGGCGGGCAGACTGCTGGGGCCCAGGCCCAAGAAGCTAGGAGCTCTGGACCCTCATGCTTCTGTGGGTTCTCTTGTTCTCCGAGTTTGTGTTGGTCTTTGGAGGCCTTGTGTTTCCTGCCCTTGTGCACATACCCCGAGAGGTGGAGCTTGCCAAGTGCAGGGCAGCCCAACCTGACACTTGACTGAATCAGGGAGGCAGGGTGACTAAGGCTGGGGAGGCTGCAAGTACCTGCTTGGGTCTTTACTGGGAGCCTAGTGGCACCAGTGGTGTTGGAAGAAGTAGCTTAGAATCCAGTGCTGGTGATGACAAGTACAGAAGGGGACACAGTGAAGTCTGGGAGAGGAGTGGGAAGGTGGCAGGGTTGAAGGAAAGCAGGCACCTTCATCCATCATCTCTGCAGTTCATTCCGCAGTACTTGGTGCTGAGAGCCCTGGGTGTTTTCTATCCCTTAGCAGGTGTTTGAATGAATGAATGAATGAATGAATGAATGAGCGAATGAGCAAGCAAACGAGCAAGCCTAGGCATGATGCGGAGAAGAGAGGCTGGGGCAAGCTTTGCTGCTTTTGGAGGAGCTGGGTGGGTCCAGGTTTGCTTGAGGTTGCTGGGGGCCCAGTTAGTCCTCCTGGTGATCCACAGGGCTCCGCCAGTGGTTGGTGCTGTGAAACTCCACCTCCTGGGAGGGGAGTTCTCCAGTTTGGTGATTCTGTCCTGTGGCTGCCTGTGTGTCTGGCCCAGTGATGAGCAATTTCAGAGGCCCAGTTGACTAAGATGCAGGCCTTGCCCTCAAAGCTTCTCAGTTTAGCAGGGTAGACAAGTATCATCACAGGTAACTATAAAACTACTACCAACTGCCTTCCTAGAAGGAATATAGGGAATTCTAGAAACACAGAAGGCTCACAAACCCTGCCTGCTTTGGGGCAAAGAAGATCAAGAAAGGCTTCTGGGAAGAGACCAGGTGCAGGGTGAGGAAGTGGTGTCTCTAGCCAAGGGCAGCAGAAACAGAGGAGGAAGGGGCTCAGGAAGCAGGTTTGAGCAGTTATTACTTGCCAGACCCTGTGAGGCAGTGATGAAAACACAAAGATCACTGTTCTCTTGGCACATAGGTTCTAGTTAGTGGGAGAGTGTTAGGGAAACCCAGCTGGAGAGGGGCTGTTTGTGGGTGGCTTGACTGGTGGATAGAGGAGGCTGACCCCTTCTAGCCAGTGGCTTTCGGGGATCTGAGTGCCAAGGCCTGCCTCATGTCTCTGTCTTACTCACCAGGCTTTTGCTGAGGTGTGGGACTGAAGCGGTAGTTCTTAAGAGTGTGGACCAGCACCAGTACTGGGAGTTGTTGCAAAAGCCCCATCCTCAATTTACTGCATCAGAAACTGTGGGAGTGGTGCCCAGGAATCCCTGTTTTAATAAGGCCTCCAAGTGGTTCTGGTGCACACAAAAGTTTGAGAACAAAGCGGGGTGTGGAAGAGTTCAAATTGGAGAGAGGGCCTGGAAGTGCTCTTCAGGCTAAGAGGGTGAAGTAGTGGCATGCTGTGGGGAGAGCTGGGCTGGAATTCTGTCCCCTGCCTGTCCCAGGTGTACATGTACCAGCTCTTCCGGAGCTTGGCCTACATCCACTCCCAGGGCGTGTGTCACCGTGACATCAAGCCCCAGAACCTGCTGGTGGACCCTGACACTGCTGTCCTCAAGCTCTGTGATTTTGGCAGGTGAGCCTGACCTGGGGTGTGTTGGGTGGCTGACCGTCTAAGGAGGGACCCTAACTCTTGCCTTGTGTTTATTCCTGCCCACCTCTTCCCACAGTGCAAAGCAGCTGGTCCGGGGGGAGCCCAATGTCTCCTACATCTGCTCTCGCTACTATCGGGCCCCAGAGTTGATCTTTGGAGCCACTGATTACACCTCATCCATTGGTCAGACTTACGGGAGGCTGGGGGTGGGGGTGGCAGTCATGGCAGTTTTTGAGTTTTGTTGTTTGTCAGCCAGGCTTGGTGATAAAAACTTAATGTTTATCCTTTTATGCAGTCCTCACAAATTGAGGAGGGCTATGCTGTTGTATACTCCTTTACAGATGAGCAGTCTTAGGTTGAGTGATGCGGCTACCTGCCTGCAGTCACACTGCTAGGACCAGGCAGGGTTGGGCTTTGAAAAGCTGGCCTAACTCTAGAGTCTGTAGTCCGAGTCAGCCCTCTCTTTTCCACGGGGAAGGGCTGATTGTGACCTCGGGGGAATTTGAGGTGAGGCTATGAGGGTGTGACCTGCTCACAGGGCTCTGTGTACCTCCCTGGAAGGATGTCACCTTCCAGGCCTGAGGAGAGGGCCTGAAGGGTTTGGGTGAGAAAATTCATCAGTGGGGTGAAGAAACTGCCTGGTCCTTAGGTGTGAACTTGTGCCAAAGGTGTCAAGGTGCAGACCAGGAAGAGGTGAGAGCACCAGCCTGCGGCTCTTCACCCAGATTGGAGAATGCAGTGCAGTCAGGCAGACCTGGCAGACCAGGAGGTTCAAAGTCAGGCTCCAGTGTTCCTAAACTATGTGACCTTGAGCAAAACACTTCCTCTGAGTCAAGAGAATGGGCCTCTTGGGCCCTCTCAGCATGATCATAAGGGACAGAAGGGTTTGTGAGGGAATGGGCATGGTACCCTGACCCTCCCCCCCGTTCCCCTTCAGATGTGTGGTCAGCTGGCTGCGTACTGGCCGAGCTCCTCCTGGGCCAGCCCATCTTCCCTGGGGACAGTGGGGTAGACCAGCTGGTGGAGATCATCAAGGTGAGGGAAGGGCCTGGTGGCCGGGGGCGGGGCTAAGTGATAGGAGTCTGGGCTCAGACCCCTCTTCCTACAGGTGCTGGGAACACCAACCCGGGAACAGATCCGAGAGATGAACCCCAACTACACGGAGTTCAAGTTCCCCCAGATTAAAGCTCACCCCTGGACAAAGGTGGGGCAAAGCTAGGGGCCCAGGCAAGATGGCTAAGGTCCCCACTGGAGACCAACTGGTCTGGGGATGTGGCTACAGAGTCAAGGTTTGGGAGCGGGTCAGTGACTTTCATCAGATTTCAGTTTATATAATTTCCCATAATCTAAAAGTTGAGGACCCACAGTAGAGTCAAGAGTCCCATTTTTCTAGTGGGGAAACAGACTTAACAGCAGAACCCTTAGAGTCATGGGACCTGGTGGGCTGCTTACCTGATAAACAAACTGTGCTCCCCTCTGTGGTTATGCCTGTTTTCTCCTTTGGAAAGTGAGTTTGTGGGAGGCGGGCAGTCACATTTACTGCTGGCGCTGTGGCATTGAGGTGCAGGTACATGCCAGTGCCCTGGGCTTCTCACCCTTGTGACTTCTACCTCTCTTCGCCAGGTGTTCAAATCTCGAACGCCACCTGAGGCCATTGCGCTCTGCTCTAGCCTGCTGGAGTACACACCGTCCTCGAGACTCTCTCCGCTGGAAGCCTGTGCCCACAGCTTCTTTGATGAACTGCGATGTCATGGAATCCAGCTCCCCAACAACCGCTCGCTTCCCCCCCTCTTCAATTTCAGTCCTGGTGGTGAGGGCACAGCCTGGGATCTGGAAAGCTGGAGGGGGCACCCAGTGATTGTAGAGAAGAGCTTGGTGTTGAAGACAGGAGTGGGGAGCTAAGGGGGTGGGTGACAGGGAAGGCCTGGGCATTGTAGAGGCCCCTGGGATTTAGGAAGACCCAAACCTGATTCACCCTGTGCCTTGTGATCTCCCATGCTAGGCTCTTTACAGTTGTTCTTTTGAAGTATTTGGTGGCCACACTTGTTGGCCAAGAGCTGGGTCCCTGTTCAGTGCCCTTTTCTAACCCCAACTGGGTCTGCAGATGCCCTGCCCTGCCTTCTGACCAGGCAATGTCCATTCCTGTCTCTAGAACTCTCCATCCAACCATCTCTCAATGCCATTCTCATCCCTCCTCACTTGAGGTCCCCAGCGGGCACTGCCACCCTCAACCCATCCTCACAAGGTAAGTCAGGGTAGAGCAGCATTTTTCAGTTGGGGGGGGGGGTCCTATTTTCACAGCCCCTGGGTTTCTGTAGGTACTTAAGAATCGCTGATGGTTTGAAATATAGAAAACATATTTTACAACCTGTGAATGGCCACTTGTATTGGGCTCTATCATCTCTGTTTGTGTTGAAATGCTAACTGAAAAACTCAAAACACGTACTTGGCTTACACAAACAGTTGAATTTGTTGCCCACATTAAAAATTGGGGCCATTTCATGTACAAATCTAGATTTCGTGTTTTTGCTGGGGAAGAAAGTCAGATGGGACAGCAGTGGGCCTGCCTTCCCCCAGGGCTGAGTTCCAGTTGTCCCTTTTGAGGTGGGGTCTGGCTCTTTGGTGAGTCACTCAGTGACCAACCTGGCCCTTTGGCATTTGAGTTTGCAACCCTGGACCTAAAATGACAGCTTTCTGTTTCTGAAGTAGCATCTCACACAGACTTCCTGCTTATGGGGGGCAGGGGTTGAAAAGCAAAGGCTAACTGTCTGCTCTTTATTCCTCCTCAGCTTTAAGTGAGGCTCAGACCAGCTCGGAATGGCAGCCAACCGATCCCACAGATCCCCTCACTAACTCCTCCTGAGGGCCCAGCCAACTACCCGTCTATCTGGGAGCCCCAGGTGGGGCTGGGAAGGTGGGGGGCGTGGCTCCTGCCCTGGCTGGACCCCTAGACTAGAGGGCAGAGGTAAATGAGTCCCTGTCCCCTCTCCTGTCCCTCCCTCACCAGCCTCACCCCTATGGTGGGCTTTTTAAGAGGATTTCAACTGGTTGTGGGGAGGGAAGAGAAGGATGGATGGATGGGGTCGGGGGCATGAGGACCTCCTACCCCTTGGCCCCCTCCCCTTCCCCAGGCTTCCACCTCCTCCAACCCACCCCCTCCTCCTGTGTCCCTTGTAAATAGAACCAGACCAGTCCATTTCCTCTTTCCTTCCCTGGTCCCCGGGTGTAAATAGATTGTTATAATTTTTTTCTTAAAGAAAACGTCAATTCGCACCGTCCAACCTGGTTCCTCCCCCTCCTATAGCTGTGTCACCTCCTGTCCTCTGCCCTGAGGTCACCTCCTTTCTCTCCCTGCCCCGAAGGGCCGGGGGTGGTGGAGGTATCCTGATGTCTTAGTTTCCACAGTAAGGTTTGCCTGTGTACAGACCTCCGTTCAATAAATTATTGGCATGAAAACCTGCTTCCATCTGGCTGCCTGTGTCCACCGAGGTGAGGGAGGTGCCTGGTAGAACAGGAGTGGGCTGTATCTCAGGAAGGGAGACAGGGTAGAGTGATCCCAGGCTGGGTCATCTGAGGCCTGAATCTGGGCCTTGGCTCAGGTGCTCAACCTTCCTGTGAGGATGAACAGGTCTGGCTTACATGCTGCAGAGGCCTGGGAGGAGCCTGGTCCCTGGACCCAGAATGAGCCATCTGCTTCCACCCAGGGAGGGAGACAGCTGGGGACCAGAGAGGCCATGGCCATAGGGTATAAGTGGCAGAGTCAAGACTTGAACAAAAAGCTCTGCCTCAGCCTGTGCTGCCTGCTGCTCCAGGATCTGAAGAACATAAAACTGAGCCTGATGTAGATTCAGTGGGCATGCATGGGGGCAGAGGTGCTGTCCACAAACCCTAGCAGATCCTCAAGCCTTCATTTCTGGGTCTCACAACAGGGCACATACTTGACCCACCTCCTAGGGATGCTGGGAAGTAACACACCTGGGAACGTGGGTGCAGAGAGCCTCGCTTTTTACCCTCACTGAGACAACATGCTGGGCCAGATGGCGAGGCCATGGGCCGAGTGAAATGGTACCTCCTCCACGTGGTGCCCACAGACAGCAAGGGCAGGAGGCCCCAGAGGAGGATGGGGGTCTGGGGAGGAACAACTGACACATGCTCCGCTGGTCAAGAAAGATGAAGAATTTCAAACATGTTCCAGAGGGAGTTTAAGGACTGCTCCTGTGGCATCTAGGCTTTTGTCTGCTCAGGTCAGCCCCAGGGGCACATGTATATACTGCCCAAAGCAAACCCTGGCCTTCCCCGCTCAACACCATCTGGGTATCACCTTTTTTTTTGTATTAGGAATCCATAAAGCAAGTGGAGTGGAGTAGGGGAGGAGGGCTAGTCTGGGCAAGGGGCAGACCCTGGGCTCCTGGGGACCCCTTCTTCCCCATTGCTCACATTTGGTCAGCCATGAGGTCACCATCCCTTACTCTCCTCCCACCCTCACAGCCTCTGCTCAGCTCTGGCCTGTTGTCTTCCTCCTGAACCATCTTCAGTCTCCCCCAACACCCCACCTTGACTCCAGGGAGCCCTAACCCCCAGTTTGGACCCATGCCTTCTCACTCTGCCCCACTTAGCCCAGTTTTTAAGGCCTTACTGAGGTCTCTACCTCCTAGACTCACAGCCACAGCCCTGCCTCATTCTGCCTCACCTGTTAGTACCTGGATCTGCAGAGGCCTGGGAGGAGCCTGCTCATGGACCTGAGCTGCCATATATCATCTTTTTAGAGACAGAAGGATTGTCACCTAAGGGAATCTTTGGAAAGGTTGGGGATCCCTTCCCGCTCCTGACCTTTGACCCTTTGAAAGACATCCCCCCAACTCCTCCAGTTACAATGAATCCTCTGAGCCCCCAGCCTCTGCAAAGTTTTCACTGGATCTGGACATGGGCTTAAGGGACCAACTGGGTGCACATCTCTGCAATGCCTCTGCTTAGCTGCGAGACCTTGGGCAAATCTGCCCATTTTCTCATCTGTACAATAGGGAGAATTCTTAGATCACCTCACAGGCCCATTAGGATCATAATACATGTATGGTTACTGCGGTGCCTGCCATGGAGAGGGAGCCAAATGTTCACTGTTGTAGTTGTGAATAACTGGACGGGGTCTCCAAGTATACTAAGAACTCATCCTCTATGCTGTTCTCTTCTGCTAGCAGATTCCTACCTCCTCTATAAGCCTCTGACTCCTGATCTCCCACCACCGAGTTCTGTTCCCTCCTTGGGACCTACTGTCCAATGCACATCCCCATCGCAACCCTGAGGAACCTGGAGCTGAGATCTGTCTGCCTCCTGGGCAGAGCAGAGGCCTGACTCATCTCTAGCCCCAAGCATCACCCGGCACTCAGGAAGGTCATCCAAGATGAAAGAATCAATGAAACACACTTAGACCATCTGTACTTGTGTGTGTTCCTCCTACCACACGGCAGTCCATATCTGACTCATTCCTGGGACTCCAGCATCACATCAACTGAGCACCTGGGAGCCTATAGGTTTCCTTCCACATTGTTAAAAGTGAGATTAAGAAAGCCCAGGGAAGTCAAGTGTCTTCCTCCTGGGCGGTGCTGAGTCCTGGGTGAGGAGAGTCCAGGGAAGCCTAGGGCGGCAGGAACAGCCAAGAATCTGAAGACATATGGGGCACATACCTGAGCACACGGCCAGGGCTCAGAAAAGGTTACCTCATGTTGCTGGGTAGCAAGGTCATACAAAGAACTTTGGCAAACCCCACTTTGTGGGTGACCTGGGACAGATCCTATCACATCTCAGAGCTTCTGTTTCCCTTCAGGCAGAGAAAGGTGACAAGAGAAACCTGGCAGGGCTGTTCTGAAGAGTTAGCACGTAAGAGGGCAGGGTGGATCCTGGCACCTGGTGGGTGCCAGAGTGGCTTGCCAGGGGGTGGTCCCCTTTCTCCCCAGAGGCGCTCACACTTGCTCTTGCAACCAAACTGTTTTATTATTGCTCTTAGCTGTGTCACACGAAGGCCGTGTCCAACTGCAATAGCCCACTTGCTTCACTGGCCCCCAGTGCTGCCTGGCACAGCTGCAGTGTGTCCTCAAGTGCCAGTGGCTGGGATGTCTCGATGATGGCGATGGTCTCTCCAAGCTCTGTGCACATGATAGTCTGTTGAGGCTGTGGGGACGGGGATGGGGCGGGAGGTGGTGATCTGGGCTGCAGTGTCATCGTCCGTGCTCGGGCATGGACCCGCTGATGCAGGCGCAGGCCCGCCATGGCACGGAACCAGCGGCCACATGTCCCGCAGTAGTAGGGGCTCTTGTTGTAGAGACCGGTGATGGGGAGGCGTGGAGCACGAGCAAAGGCCACTGGCCGCAGGTGCAGCCTCCGGTGCTGTTGTAGGTTGGAGCTCTGTGTAAACCGTTTGCCACAGTCCAGACATTGGTAGGGACGCACACCTGTGTGGGTCAGTTGGTGGCGGCTGAGATTGGCCAGAGAAGCAAAGGTCTTGCCACAGGAGTGGCATTGGAAGGGCCTCTCGCCCGTGTGTGTCCGCAGGTGGTTGTGCACATGGACCAGCTTCTTGAAGCCTTTGCCGCAAACCCCACAGCAGTGTCGCCGCTCAGGGGGCCCGTGGACTGTGCGCCGGTGCCGGGAGAGGCGGGAGGCTGAGGCGAAGGACTTGGAGCACTGCGGACAGGGCAGCTGGGCAGGTGGGGTAGGGGGTGGTGGCGGGGGCATGGGCTCAGCTGGAGCAAGGGAGGCCGCTGCTGTGGTGGGAGGTGCCCCGCTCTTGCCGGCGTGGGTGCGCCTATGGTAAAGAAACTTGGTCATGTTGCTGAACGTCTTGCCACAGCGGCAGCGATGCAATGGGTTGGCGGTGTGAGCCCGCCGGTGGGCCACCAATGTGAGTTCTGTGCTGAAGCCGCGACCGCAGTCCACGCAGAGGTAGCGGGCTTCCCCACGGTGCAGCCGCAGGTGCTGCTCCAGTGAGGCTGCTTTCTTGAAGACCTTGAAGCAGGTGGTACACTCATGTGTGCCGCCGACATGGGCCCGCCCATGAGCCAGCAGACGGTTTGCTGAGCTGAAGCAGCGCTGGCACTGGCTGCAGCGGAAGGGATGGGTTGTTGACGCTGGGCCATGGGATGCCCGCCGGTGTCGCCGGCGTGCCCCTGCTGAGGTCCAGTGTTGGTGATAATCCCCACAGCTCTGGGCCAGGCTGGCTGTGGACTTGTCGCCTCCTCTAGCATCATTACCAACCTCTGCTACCAACCCTTCCTCCTCCTCTGTTTCTTCATCATCTTCACCCTCCTCATCTTCCTCTAGCCCATTGCATTCCTCTTTCTCTAGGGAATCAAAGTGGGTTCCTTGATGCTCCAAGAACTCCTCAGGGGTGGCACAGAGGGTACAGCACTCAGGACACTCATAGGGCTCCATCTTGACTCCGGGTGGATCAGGGGGTGGAGATGGTGGTGGTGCTGGGGGAGGTGGAGGCGGAGGCGGGAGCATTGGTGGTCTTGCTGCTGCAGTAGAAAGGTGCTGGGCCTTTCGATGAGCCACCCACAACTCAGGCGAGGGGAACAGCTCCTGGCAGTCCCCACACTGGTACTGGATCTGGCTTGCAGACTCCTGGAGGTGGGCATCCTGGTGGGCCAGGAGCTCACCACGGGAGAGGATGAGCTGGCTACATTCACCACACTGGAAAGGCCCATCCTCAGTACCTGGCACCAGCTCTGGCTCCAGGCCAGCATCCTGGGTGGTCAGTGCCTCCTCCTCTGTGATAGTGGGTATATGCTGCTCCTGGTGTGAGATGACTTCCTCCAGTGTGTTGTAGAGGTTGCCACACTCGGAGCACATGAACTGGTGGTGCTGGAAAAAGAGGGATGAGGCAAGGGCCTCCCCAGGTTTCATCTCAGTCACCTCTGTTGACATCTCTGTCATCTCTCTGAACATTGGTATCGACATCTCCATTGCCTCTGGTGACATCTGTGTTGACATCTCGGCCATCTCAGCCACCTCAGCTACCATATCTGCCATTGTGGGGAAGGCACTGCCTGGAGAAAGAAGGGAGCTAGTGAGACACCAGGAAACCAAGGGGAGAGAGGACATCTCAGGAATTCCCTTGCCCATCCTGTCACTCACTACTCTCTATCAGTCACCGAGTCTAGATTCAGTATTTATGTCTCAGTCTTCAATGACCCGTGACTCTGAAGCTGACACATGTCCCATGACAGCCAGTTATCTGCAGGAGAGAGACAGCCCTCCTCAGTCTGGCCTCTGACTCTGCCCCCCTTACCCAGAGGGCCAGCTGCACCATTTCTAAGAAAACATGTCTTCGGGCCTCTTGGCCTATGCCCGTGCAGTTCCTTCTCTTTGCACCTTTCCTCTTTCTACATGGGGACACAGAGATGCAGGAAAGCAAATAGATTAAGAGCCCAGGCCCTGGAACCAGACCGCTCTTGGCTTGAATCTGAGCTCCACCACTTACTTCCTTTCTCTGAGACTGTTTTCTCACTTGAGAAATGGGGCTACAAGTAGCACTGGCCACAAAGTTCCTGGTACTTGATAAAAGCTAGACAAAACCACTTGGTAGTTATGCAGACATGTTTTTGGACCCTAGGTCTTGATGCTGCTATTAATTCCTTGTGTCAAGAAAGTTCTCTCCTCCTCTTGTCTAGCAAACCCCTCCCCAGCATTTCCTTTGTGAAGGCTTTTCTGACATGTCTACAGTCTCAAGCTTGTGGCCACTTCCCTCCTCCTCAGGGATCCTATGGCATCCAGTGCCACCTCTGTCATAGCAATTGTCATGCACTTGGGATGAAGTCTCTGTGATCCTCACTGAGCTTGTAGGCAGGAAAGGTCTGATTCATTAAAGGGACTGCTGTCATCAACATAACCACAGACCAGGGACAGAGATTTTAACTACTGCACTTTTCTTCATGTGCCTCATCTCTAGTCGTGTGGACTAAATCCAACCCATGTCCCTTCAGCAAATGACTGCTCCCCCCTAACCCCGCAAATATAGGAGTAAATTTTCTAAATTCAATTTCCATCTTCTCCATCTCTTTTTCAACTCATCTGGTAGTGCCAGAAGGCAGATGGAGTTCAGTTTATAGCCTGGCACATAAAAGTTGCTCATATTAAGCTCCCAGAGGGCAGAGGTTTTAGTCTGTTCATCAGTGATATATTTCCAGTGCCAAGAAAAATGCTTAGCATGAAATAGGCACCGAGGAGGTATTTAGTTGTGAATAATGCTCCCTCCAGAAAGTGAGGCCCAGAGACTTTAACTGTGCCTCTGCACATTCCACCTCTCCCACCAGGCCAACTCTCCTATTAAACTGTAAACTCCCACAATAACAGCCCAGTACAGGGCCCTGCTTTCAGTTTGTGCCCAATAAATGCTCCTCGAGTAAATGATTCACTAAAAGCCCAGAAGCTAAACTTTCCTCAACTTCCTCACTAATTTTCGCACACAATAGCCATTCAATAAAGGACCTCTCTGGAAGTAGCCAACCAGGGGCCTGAGAGTTCAATTTTTCCTTGTTTACAGCCCCACTCAAAACAGAGTACTCCTCTAGAATGAGGCCCAGTGCCTTTGCGTCGGTGTAAAGCCGAGGCAAAGCAGGCCCCCAGTAAATGTCCCTCTAGAAAGTAGCCCGAGAGACCTAACATTTGGACCTTCCTCGTTTACATTCCGCCTTTACCAATCTTGAATTGTAAACTATTGAGGGGAGGAATGGGAGCTTTCTACATAGTAAGTCACAAGTCCTCCCAGGAAAGAACTCACTAGCGGCCTGGAAGTTCCAACTTTTCCTCTGCACAGCTACACATCCCTTTTTTTCTGACCAGACACATCAACTCCATGACCTAAGAGCTCCCTGCAAGGAGTAGGGGAACGGTGAGCTCAAGCGTTGGGTCCTGCACACCGCGGTAGCTCAACGCTCTAAGGCACAGAGGAAGGAACGCTCTTCTTCCACTCCCGCCATAGCGGAGGCCCCAAAGCTCTTTGACCCCCGGTGTCCCCTTCGTTCTCCCTCCACCCTCTCCGTTCGCCTAGCGGCCTCTTCCCTCCAGCCCCCTACCCCGCAGCGCCCCTCACCCGTCTCTCTTCACTCCAGCAGCCCCCGCCGCTCTTGACACAGACCCCCTGCTCCCGGTGTGCGGCACCTCTCACTATCCACACCTCCCATTGGGCGGCGCCCTTATCCTAGCGGCCAATCAGAGCCAGCAGCGTAGGGCAAGCGCCCTTGAGCCTGCGTGTTGAAGCTCAGGCGGGGCTCGGTGAGTTTCTCCACGCACACAACTGTGCCCTGTGGGCTGGGCTCTGGGCTCTGAGAAGCGCTTGCGCAGTTCTTCCGGCTGCTTCTCTGCCAAGTCCGAAAGTTAAGTGGACAGAAGTGGGCACCATTGGAAAGTGAGGACCTACAGAGCGGACTGGGCGGCGGGAGCCCTTGAGATAGGTGTCATTTAATAGCTGAAGAGACTGAGCGTTCTGAGGGCACAGCTTTGGAGTCAACAAACCTGGAGTACTTCTCTCTGGGCTTCACTGTAACTACTGTGTAAAATGGGCTTGAAGCATACTTCCAAGGTTGCTGAGGGGACTGGATGAAATCAAACACATAAAAACGCTCAGCACAGGGCCTGATTTACCGTGGGTGCTCACTAAAATCCATTTAACATGGGCACACTACTTCCCAGTTTGTTTTCCCTTCTCTCACACTCTCCTGTTGATTTAATGATATTCACTTATTGGGCACCATCATGTGCCCGACCCAGAACTGGGTTTTCGGTAGGTTACAACTGCCATCAGAGAGGGAGGGACTTTCCCAAGGTCATTGCTACAGTCCAAGCAGAATTAGTGCTTGCTGAGCTAGTGCCACGCACGACCTAGGTCTCCCGCCTCCCAAGGGGAGCTAATTCCGGGGGTGGGAACCGGTCCAGGAGGGGACATGTCTCAAGACAAGTATGGGCCCTGAACTTGAGTCACCTAAGTCAGGGGCGGGGTGGCCACCACTCCCAAAACTCCGCCATGGGGGTCCTCCCATGGACTCTAACTCTTCTGTTAAGAAACCTGCTTTCCCCAGAAAGAAACTCATAGGTTCAGGTTAGAGAGGGGCTATTGGGAGGTCCTGTGACCTTAGAGGGCAGAGACTGGAAGGGGTTATGGGGGAAGGGGGCTCTTGGTGGGCGCCGTCAGAGGTGCACAGTTGGGATGGAGGGGTCTGTTGCAATCAGGAAGGAGATACTGGCTCTTAACACGAGATGCGGGAGTCCTTGTCTTGATCAGGGGAAAGAACTTATAGATGGGAGCTAGGGGTTCTGTTGGATGAGGAGGGATTCCTGTTGAGATCATCAGATGGCACAGTTGGGTTGGGGGTTCCTTGTTGCCCTTAGGAGTAAGGGGCAGTCAATCTAAAGGAGGAGCATCTAAATCCTGATCCTAAGGGCCTGGACGCTACTCAGAGCCAGGAAGATTAGTGGTGATTGTGGTCTTTGCCATGGGCAGTTGGGGGCAGTGGTACTGTGGGAGCCTAGGTCGTGATTAGGAGAGGGCTGTAGTCCATCAGATGAATAGTTCCAAAGGGTAGTGACGTGAGGTAACAAGGACCCATCGGTTTAAGTCACGAACTGGCAGAAGCACCTCAGCAATCTTGTAGCAAATCCAACCTATACGCTCAACCGCTTTCGCTCTGCGCAGGCGCAGCACACGACAGCTCAGACGCTAAGTTTGCGGGCGGGCCCTGAGGGGTGGGGCTTCGGTGCCTCACTCTGCGCTTGCGCCTAAGGGGCGTGGCGGTCGCACCTGCGCGAGTTGGGGGAAGGAGGAGGAGCGAGGTGACGCAGGCGTAATAATAGAGAAGGTGCCAGAAAGATCCAAAACAAGTGGCTGCGGCCGTCGCCCAGGAGTCGTCAGACGCCGGATTCTGGTGAGGATCCAGAGAGGCCTAAGGGCGAGTGGTGGCGGGTAGACGGAACCACCTGGGTGCCGGGTGAGGGCAGTACCATCCATATAGTGCGTGGGGGTCGCGGCACCACCTGTGTGGGGTGAGAGCTGGTTTGGTCGGTCCCACTTGTAGTGGCCAATGGGGGTCACTTTCGGACGGTACCACTCGGGTGGACCCGTGGGACTGATCGGATAGTACGGCTGGACGGAGCCCAGGGGCATGTCCGGACAGTACTAACCAGAGTCAAAGGTCAGTCGTTAGGGTGCCCCGGAATGGGCCCCCAGGCTTGTTCGTACCGAATCACTTGGTCGGTTCCGGAGGCTGGTTCGGGACATACCACTTGGGGAGGGGCGTTCGGGCTCTGCGGGCCAGACCGGTCGGAGGTCGAGTGAGGTCTAGCGTCTCGACTTGTTACCAAGGGACCTCGGACGATACCATTCATTTCCGGGGAGGGTGGGAGGTTCAGACTTCTGGGGTGTGAGGGTGGCCCTGCACGGGGGGTCGGGAATTGGGGGACGCACTGGCGAGGTTGGCGTTCGGGCTCCCATGTCGCTGACCACTGCCCCCTCCCCGCTGAGTGGGTTCTAGGCCCTGGTTCGAGCTTGTTCCACCCCCTTTCCCCGGGTATGGCGCTGTCTGGGTCGACCCCTGCCCCGAGCTGGGAGGAGGATGAGTGCCTGGACTACTACGGGATGCTGTCGCTTCATCGTATGTTCGAGGTGGTGGGCGGGCAGCTGACTGAGCGCGAACTGGATCTGCTGGCCTTCCTGCTGGATGAGGCCCCCGGCGCCGCCGGCGGCCTGTCCAACGCCCGTAGCGGCCTGGAGCTGCTTTTGGAGCTGGAGCGCCGCGGGCAGTGCGACGAGAGCAACTTGCGGCTCCTGGGGCAACTCCTGCGAGTGCTCTCCCGGCACGACTTGCTACCGCACCTGGCGCGCAAGCGGCGCCGGCCAGGTACGGCTCAACGCAAAGGTGATAGACTTCCGGTGGGAAGGGGGCCTTGCTCCTCATCTGAGCCTTCGTGGTGCCCTGATATCAGAAAGCCTATGTTCCTCTCCACTGCTCCCTTCTCCACAGAGTATCAGAAACACGAGAGAGAGAAGGCAGGGCTTTGAGAGGCGAGCTTGTGGAATTTGGCCAGAGCAATAATGATGTTTGTGGCCACTGTTTGTGGAGGGCTTGTTTCATGCCAGACACAGACTAAGCCTTTAATATAAACTATCATTATAATATTCTCCTGGTAGTCCCACGAGGAAGTCCTGTTACTGTCACACTGGACTGGGAAAACAACAGGTTCAAAGAAGTTAAGCAGCCTGCTCACAAATGAGAACTGAGTCTTGTGTGAGTGACACAGGAGATACAATGTGCCTGGACTCATAAAGTGCTTATTACATGAGGCATAGCATTAATGGGGGAATCAGATATTAAAAGAGATAAACAGTTTATTCCTACATATGGATATAGAAAGACTAAAACAAAGTAATGGTATGTAGCAAGTAGGGATTCTGAGTGAAGGGGGCCCCCCTTAGATTGAATAACCAGTCAAGACCTTTCTGAGAAGGTGACATTTAAATTGAGGCTGCACTGCTGCCACCGTGCATAGAAAACTCCAGGGAGAGGAAAAGGCAGCCTTTGAAGCCTTGAGGCAGGAATGAGTTTGGCATCATCAGAGGCCAGTGTGGTACAAACAGAGGGGACTGAAGAGAAGGCAGAGAAGTAGGTGTGAAGCCACATCACAGGGGCTTGCAGATAACACAGCTAGAAAGCGACAGCTAGGAGTCACACTCAGCTGGTTTGTGTCCAGAGTTGATGCCCTTAATCCTTGTGAGGGAAGGACAGCGATCTGAAAAGCCCGGGACCTGGGAGGGTTTAAGGCACAGGAGCCCCACATGTGTATAGGCCTTGAGCTGTTGAGCCTTTGGTGGGATTACTTGGTGATTGGGGAGGGAATTGTGAGGCTCCCCATGCCCAGAGTAAGCTCATGGGATTTGGATAACCAGGGGAAGGGCAGCACTAGGGAAGAACTGACAGCGCTTTTGGAAAAATATGTCTGGAGGTCAGACTACTCTGGAAGAGAAGATTTGGGAAGCCTGAAGAGAGGCCTGCTTACTCTTTGGGGCCTCAGGGAGAGCTGGGGGCAGTTGATGGCAGGCAACGTTGCAGGGATCCTGGCCATGACTCAGTTTACAAAATAACTCTGACTGACTCCTTTTTATTGGGAGGCATTGAGCAACCACTGGGCAGGAGGTGCTGGAGAGGGAATGGGTGTCTGGACTCTGACCCCTGGGGAACTCAGGCACCCTGTGTGGCAGGTGTTCATCTCAAGGGGCGGGAATTGGAGGCTGGGCCTGGGATGGGCCAGAGACTGTTAATACTTCTTTCCATTTTTCTCTCCCTGCAGTGTCTCCGGAACGCTATAACTATGGCACCTCCAGCTCTTCTACAAAGAGGACAGAGGGTAGCTGCCGTCGCCGTCGGCAGTCTAGCAATTCTTCAGATGTTCAGCAGGATCAGTGGGAAACAGGTGAGTCCAGCTGGGTGGGTGTGAAGGCGGTTTCTCTCTCTTCTTCTGAACCCTGATGAACTGCCCCTATCCTGGCCCATCAAGAAAAAGGTGCAAGGGGTTATTCTGTCTCATTTTTACTTTGTGTGTTTATTTTTCTTAGAAAAGCATGTGTCCGGGGGCAACATATGGAGTTGTTTCTAGTAGTTTTATATTTCATCTAAATGGCATCATACCATGGGCTCATCATTCCTCACGTGGCTATTTTTGCTGGATGTGTTTCTTAGAGTTATTCATGTTGAATAACTAATGGATATTTTTTGATTGTCATGCCAATTAATTTATCCAGCCTCCCTCTAGCCCCAGTTTTTAAATTATTCAAATATAATTTCAAACACACAGAGAAATTAAAAATTTTGTACAGTGAACATGTTCCTAATCTTCCTAGATACAAGATCTTCCTAGATCTTCCTTTTTAGACACATTTTGCCACTTTAGTTTTACATGTGTGTTTATGTAATTCTTTGGTTGTTGAACTCTTCGAAAATAAGTTCCAGGCATCAGGACACTTGACCCCTAAATCAGCAGGCCTCTCCTGTTAATAAGGAGATTCTTCTCTACCACAGCGAGACCATTACCATACCTAAGAAAGTATACACAAATTCTCTGATATCCTAATGGTCCATTTTCAGATCTCTGTAAGATTGTCTTCACTTTCAGAATCCACTCATAGTTGAGTTGTTAGTTAGTATATCTCCTTAACTTTTTACTATAGAAATGAGATTCGTCCCCTGCCTGTACGTTTTCCTTTATTTTCGCTCCTTGAGATTGACTTCGTGATCATACCAGGCCACTTGTTTTGTGGAATGTCCTGATTATTTCCAGAAATGTCTAGTAATTTTCTAATGGTGTCATTTAACTTGTCCCTTTGTCCCCTATATTTCCTGTAAAATGGGGATTGGGTCTGGCGGTCTGATTCAATTCAGGTTCCATGTCTTTGGCAATAATGCTTCTTGGTTGATGCCATGAGCTTCGCATTGGAGCACGTCAGGAAGCAGAAAGTCTGGTTTTACTGTTGTGTGTGTGGGCAAGTTTGATCACTTAGTTAAGGTAGTGTCTGCCATATTTGTCCTTTGCAAAGGGATATTTTTTTCCCCCTCTGTGGTTAGTAAACAATCTATGGGATGACATCTTGACACATCCTGTTCAATAGCACCCCCAGTGGGTGGAGCATCCTTTCCTGCCTAAACCAATCATTACATTGGTGTTCAGAAAATGGTGATTTTCTAATTCTTTCATTTTCCTACATCTATTCTGCTGGCTTTTCAAGAGGAGTTTTTCTTTCCACCCCCCTCCTTTTTTTTTTGGTGGAGACTACCACTATATAATGGATTCATACATTCTTACTTATTTATTGTGTCATAATCAGTCAGTCATTCTTTCTGATGTTCAGATTGGCTATCTCCTTTGTCTTTTTGATGAGTCTCCATCATGCACTGGGTGCTGCCTGCTTTGTGGCACTGCAAGATGCGGCACTCACCTTGTACTTTCCCTTCCCCAATCCTATAATCCACTGCTTTGAGAAGGCTGGTTTCTTTTAGAGGCAGTAGTATTTAGAGACTAAGATATGGTTGCTGAGTATGAGCATCATTTCTAGGCTCTTTCAGTGAACAGAGTTAGAAACTGCTTTTTAAAAGTTCATATTAGGCCCTGCCCTGGCTGGAGTGGGTCAGTGGATTGAGTGCTGGCCTGTAAACCACAGGGTTGCCAGTTGGATTCCCAGATCAGGTCACATGCCTGGGTTGTAAAAGTAAATAAAAGTAAATATAACTTTTTATAAAAGTAAATACTTTTAATAAATACATTAAAAGTAAATAAATAAAATCTTAAAAGATAAAAGCTTATATTAGGCCCTGACTGGTGTGGCTCAGTTGGTTGGGTGTCATCCTGCAAAGTGAAACGTCACCATTTTGATTCCTGGTCATGTCACATGCCTAGACTGCAGGTTCAGTCCCCACTTTAGGCGTGTACGAGAGGCAGCCAGTCGATGTTTCTCTTCCTCTTTTTCTCCCTCCTTTCCTCTCTCTGAAAGAAAAGCTCATATTCATATTTTAAATTCTTAAAAAAATTATTGGTTCTTAGAGAGAGAGTGGGGAAGGGGGCAAGAGAGAGAGGCACATACACACATCAGTTTGCTGTTCCACTCATCCATGTATTCACTAGGTGATTTTCATATGTGCCCTGACCAGGGATCGAACTGGAAACCTTGGTGTATTAGAACATGCTCCAACAAACTGAGCTACACAGCTATGTGGCTTGGGCCTTATTAGTACTTTTAATTCAAAATTAACAAATACTACAAGGATTTTTTCCTCTTACACGGAAAACCTTGGTTTTTAACAACATTGAGATATGGATTTATTTGCTTTATTGTATAACAATAAAAAAAATTGCTTCAAAATTACAGTGTCAATACCACTGCTGACTCTTTACTGAAAAAAATCCACAAATTTGTGGTTCTGGTCCTTGGGATTATATTTCACTGAGAGTTTGCATTCAGAATGATCCTCCTAATAACTTGAAATAATTATTTTCTTCACCTGTTCATGTTACCAGTTTTATACAGGGTTAGGTTCATTTGTTTCTGTATGTGTTTGATTTTATGGTTTATTTTTCTAAAATATTTTGACTAAACTGTAAAAAAAATTTTTTTTGACTATGTCAGAACTAAACTATGTGAAAAAGATGTTTTCAGAAGCATCACGTGTTGTTTTCTCCTCCAGTAAATAAGTAATGAATTTCACTCATTTCTAATCTATATGCAGAATTAGCAAATACATACTTATCTTTGTTCCCCTCCTTTCTTATGTGAAGTGTATAGCAAGCTGTAGACACCTCTTTTTTATCTTAGTTTGCTTCACTAACCAATTTATCCCAGAAATTATTCTTTTTTTGCTTCACATTGACATTGATTTCAAATGTGTGCAGTTATAAGCTATGGACAAAGCCCTGTGGCTGGTGCCATGCAGATCCCCTGGTGTGAGAGTGCAGGAGTTTCTGTAGGCCCACATCTAGGAGTGGGATCGATGTGCAGGGGTGTGCTGGTCGGCCCTTCTAGATGATGCTAGGTTGTACTTACTCACCGTCTTATGGACAGTGCCTCCAAGGCAGAGGTGCTCACCCAGGGTCTCACAGTGCAGGGACCAACCTCAAAATCTTCCTTGGGCTCTGGGTACCTGCCTTGGTGCTCTGCCTATCATCGGTCCTTAACCACCCCATTTTTCTCCCTTCAGGCTCCCCACCGACCAAGCGGCAGCGACGGAATCGGGGCCGGCCCAGTGGTGGTGCCAGACGGCGGAGGAGAGGGGGCCTAGCTGTCCCCCGGCAGCAGCAAGAGCAGGCCAGACCCACCTCAGAAGGCAAAGTGACCTGTGGTAGGTGTCTGTGGAGCTCAGGGAATGCATGTGCAGTGCCCGTGGCAGACTGCTGAGCCACAGGACAGGAAGAATGGGTACTTGTATGGGGTGTCGCACACCTAGTGACATCTAACAGGTGGGCAGCAGTTCTTATCCCTCTGTTTAGCAGTGGATTTCTTGTTCCTCTCTTCATCTTGCTTATCTACATCCTGTCTGTAGTTGAAGACTCATATCCTATGCTGCCTCCCTTAGAAGCCTCCCCTGACAACCTGCTGCCGCCAGTTTCATGTGTTTACTTAGCAAACATTTGCAAGGGTGTGTGTATTCAATGATCAGTTTTTCTGCAGGGGTGAAAACAGCACCCTGGGGCAAGCTGCCTTATTTACCTCTTGGCCTTAGCAATTAATTAGGCAGTCTGATCTTGGGCAGGTGAGTGAACCCCTCTATGCCTCAGTTTCCATATCTGCAAAATGAGGCTGGTATTGGTATCTTCCAGCCAGGATTGTTGAGAGAAAGAGAGTTAACACATGTAATACACTCAGCATAATGCCTGGCCCAGGCCTGTGTACCAGTTTTCCCTTCTCACTGTCACTGTGCCATGTGCGTGGGGCAGGAACAGCAGTGAGGTCCCTGCCCTAGTGGAGGTGACCTTCTTTCTAGTAGGATGACATACCAGTGAAACTGAAGCTCATTTTAGACACTAAGCCCCAGGAAGAGAGGGCAGGGTTTGTGGGCATTGGGTGAAGCAGCCCAGTAGGCCTCCAAGTAGGTGGGAGTTTGATTTTTATTCCATGCTGTTAGTACTGTCAAGGGATCTGAGCAGGGGAGTGAGGTGACCTGAAACATATTTTTAAAGGAACTCTGACCCCATCTGGAAAACCAGTTAATAAATGAGTTAGGATTTGTAAAGTACACAGAACAATTCTGGGCATATGGTCCATGCCCTGTCAGGTACGTGTAAAGTAAATTAAAGTGGGAGCAGCAAATGAGTGACAGTGTTGCTCAGATCCAGCGAGGAGGAGAGGTGATTGCATAGGAGAGGGTGAGAAGCGGGGTGGACTGAGGAAGTCAGGATGTACAGCTGACTGGACCTGCAGACTGGTTGGGGTGGGTGGGTTGAGGGGACTGTGCTGTGGAGACTCTCGTCCTCGAGAAATTTCACCTGTCCTGAGGGAAGGACGCAGGCCTGGGTGGGCACTCTCTCTCACATACTATTCCCCTTCACATCTCTGGTACATCCTCTGAGTTGGGCAAGCCTGTGGACATGGGATCAGGTGGTGAGATGCTCAGGCAGGGGCGGCGGGTGGCAGAATTACAGGTGGAAAGTCCAAGGTTGAAGTAGTTTTACATTCTCCAGGAGACCTCGGTCTGGGCTGCTTCCTCTGGCCATCCGCAGAGTGGCCATGCCTGCGTCGACTAGTGTCTTGCGCGCCCCTCCCCACCCGCGCCCCTAGGTTGTGGGCTACACATTAGATTCCCTAGGTGAGACTGTGTGGGGCAGGTCGGGAGGAAGAGACCAGTAGACCTTGAGGGGTGGCTGCCTTGTCATGACTTCCCTCTGCCCCCCAGTCAGATAATTACCAGAGTCACCAGGCTGGCTGGGCTGCCCAGGGAGTCACTGCCTCCCTAGGGAGCAGGCCAAGCTGAGACTTGGGAGGGGTTTTGCCTGTAGAGGCATCAGGTCTCTTCCTTGAGGGCAAGGAGGTTGTTCATAGGGTGTGGCTGGCTCTTGAGGGGTGGGGGGGGGGGGGGTAAGCAGGTCTGACTGCTGACTCACCAGGCAGGGTGGGGCTGGAGTGAGGCTCTCCCCAGTAGGGCCCTGGTTTTTCCCTCTGAAAGCAAAGATAGCTTACCTTTAATGAGGCCCAGTCACAGGAGTGACAGAGGGCTCCTTCAGACCTGAGTGAGGAAGGATCCTGCTATTTTTGTCCCCTCCTCACCTGTGATAACTGTGGGGTTTGACCCTTACTTAGCTGCCCTCCACTTAGTGGTAGTATAACTGAGCATATCGGGTCTTGGCCATGTGATGCCTTTACACATGACCCAACAATTAGTGTTGAAGGAAAAAGGGTTTTATTAACAGGATTCCAACCCTGGGGGGCTGAGAGCACCCCTGCTCAGAGCCCTATTCTCCCATGAAACTCAGCATTTCCCGTGCTCTCCAAAAGGCTATAGGCCAAAACCATGCCCAGAAGTTCCCCATGTCCTTATCTGGCTTTAAGCTGGCTGCACAAACAGATCTCCATCCTTTCAGGAACGTGCACTTGTGCGTTTCAGAATTGCCGTCCTCTCGCAGCAGCTCTCTCCTTCAGGATCTGGGGTGCATTGTTCTCAGCCTCCAGGTAATGGTCTAGGAAAACGTGTGCCATGTTACACTGGATCATGGTGGAGTCCAGGGAGGCACACGTCCCAAGAGAGTGGCCTGTCTGTATATCTTCCAGAGAAGCAGAAGTCAGCATTCCTGGTCACAGTTCAGTTCAGCTTCAAACAGCTCCCACAAACCTGTGTCTGGTTAGGCAGGTCCCTGCGCAGCTCCATCAGCGCTCTCCTTACACGCTTTCCTTCCGCATAGCTGCTTCCTCTCTCGGCCCGTATGGCTTCTCTCTACACCCTCAGCCCTCATGGCGGACCGGGCCCTTCTCTGCACCCTTTCCTCCACATGGACTCTACTTCTTAGCTCTCAGCCCACCCTTATTTTAAATGTTTGGCCCAGAACTCCTATGTGACCTCATATCTGGCCCCTCCTATGAGGGGTTACTTTTGCCAGTTCTCTCATATCCTTTACCTTCTTTCGGGTGCCACCTTTAGTCAGGGCAAGAGTTCCCTGTGACACAGGGTCATCGAGGTGGGCGTCCATCTCTCCTGGTTATATCATGAGTCACTCTATGCCCTTAAAGTCACATACATCTTTTACCATGGGTGGCAGTACAGCTAGCTATTAACTTGCCATTGTTATGCAAAGTATTTTAAAAGCCTTATCACCCACTCCCCCCCCCCCGCAAGGTTTGTGGATATATGGTCTATCATTTTGGCCTCCCCCCTCCCCCCCGCTCTGCGCCCCATTACACTAGAACCAGCCTAAGTACCCGAGGGCCATCGAGGGTGAGAAAGGGGGTGGGGTGGGGTGGGGTCCTGATCTTGGGCACATGTCCTCAGAGTTTCCATGTTCCTTTCAGGGGTGTCTCCTGGGCACTGTCCCAGGTGTACTACTCTCCTGACCTTGAATTCTCAAGACAGTGTTGAGGGATAAGGGTGATGGCCGTCCTTGCGCAAAAGTGATGGGTGGGGCTGGGCCAACCTCGGCTTGTTCATTTGGTAATTGCATGCATATTTGTCGAGTGCTCCTGCTAGGCACAGCAGGGACTGGAGGCTCTTGTCCTCAAGGAGCTTGCATTCTGATGGGAGGAGAAAGCCAAGAGACAGAGATGTCTGATGTCAGCTGAGCAGAGAAAGGAGGGCAGAAAGGGGTAGAGAATGGTGGAAAATGTGGTTTTAGACCTACTTTGTAGATAGGGTGGTCTAGGAAGGCTTCTCGGAAGAGTGTGTGGTTGCCTAGAGTCGAATATTTCAGGTAGAGGGGCAGCAGGAGCCCAGGCCCAAGAGGGAATGTGGTAGTAGTGATGAAGGGGTGGTAGCGAAGCTGGCAAGGCTGGAGTGGAGGGAGTGAGGGAGACTGCTAGGAGGAGAGGGCAGCAGAGGTAACCAGGGGCCCATCCCGCAGAGCCTGTGAGCCGTGGGCCTGAGCTTTCCATTTATTTATTTAGGTAAATTTTTATTTTTTTTAACCCTTGCCTGAGGGCATTTTTTCATTGATTTTTTTTTTTTTTTTTTTTTTGAGATAGTAAGGGGGAGAGAAACAGCGATTGGTTGCCTGCTGTATGCGCCCAGATCAAGGATTGTCCATGCCTGCACTGAGGATTAAACCTGCAACCTAGGCATGGGCCCTGACTGAGAGTTAAACCCATAACCCCTCAGTTAATGGAGATGATGCTCCAACTGAGCCTCGCTGGCCAGGGAGCATTATCTTAAATGATGGAAAACAGAGGATTTGAATGACAGGCTGAGCTTGCTTTTTCTGTCAGTGCTCTCTGTGGAGAAGATACAGAACCAGACAAGACTAGCATAATGAACTTCATTTTCTGTCACCCAGCTTTAGCAGTTGTCAACTTGTGGCTGATTTGATATTAATGTCTTAATATCAAATATCTAATTAGCGCTCACATTTCCAGGTGTCTTACAAAAGTTGGTTCTCCTAAGTCTCTCCTAATCTGTTGGATTCCTCGGCCATCTCTGTTTTCTCTCTTTCCTCCCTTCCGTTGTGTTTGTTGAAAATAGTTGTCCCAGCCCTGGCTAGGTTGCTCAGTTGGTTGTAGCATTGTCCCATACGCCAAAAGCTTTTGGGCGTGATTTGCCATCATGGCATATAACTAGGCTGCAGGGGGTTTTTTGTTTTGTTTTTTAAGATTTTATTTATTTCTATTGTTTTTGTTTTTTGTTTTTGTTTTTTTGTTTGTTCTAGGGTTAAAGTTTATTTTTACTGATTTAAAGATTTTATATTTATTTTTTAGAGAGAGGGCAAGGGAGGGAGAAAGAGAAGGAGAGAACTAGCAATGTGTGGTTGCCTCTCATGCACCTCCTACTAGGGACCTGGCCCACAACCCAGGCATGTGCCCTGACTGGGAATCGAACCAGTGAGCCTTTGGTTTGCAGGCCAGCACTCAATCCACTGAGCCACACCAGCCAGGGCTAGGGCTAAAGTTTATTTATCTGTAATGCTTTGTTGATTGTGATATTACAGTTGTCCTCATCTTTTCCAGTTTGCCCCACTCCACCTGGCACCTCCCACTCCCTCAGGCAGTCCCCCCACCATGGTTCATGTCCATGGTCTTGCATATAAGTTTTTTGTATTTACTTATATTTAGAGATAGGGGAAGGCAGTGAGAGAGGGAGAGAAATGTCAATGTGCAAGAGAAACATTGACCAGTTGCCTCCTGCACGCCCCCAACTAGGGGCTTGTT